ATATAAAGAACTATATAAAAACATTTCCAGTGATATCATTTTAATTCTAATTATTATATTTGAAATTGAAAAAGATAAAATAAACTAAAATAAAAATTTCATTTCAAAAGAATACGTTTGAGAGAAAGAAAAAATGATGTTTTATCCAAGAAAGCAGTAATAAAACGTACGAATTACGGTCACTAACCTCTAACTTAGATGTTTTTAAAACTAGCCAAAAAATGTCTAATTGTCTACGTTTTATATACATAAAATAATACGTAAAACGATCTGAAAAAGTAAGACTCAAGACAGTCTTCGTGAACGTTTAAAGTATTTTACACATACTTAAGACAATAATATTAGGTTATGGTTTTGTTGTTAAGCGATACAGATAAAGTGAGCGTTACCAAAAGACAACTGGTTTTTATCTACATTAGATGCTGTTCCTTCGTTATACATAAAAAAATCGGATCTACTGTTTCATAATACTGTTTTGCGGTTATAGATTAAAAAGTTGTTTCAATATCTAATAATTCTATTTCACGGTTATAAAATAAAGGCTTGGTCTTGCATTTCAAGTTGTTGCTTATCTTTGTTGATTAAAATTAAGCCCATGTTTCTATTTCATAATGCTGTTGAACGGTGATAGATTTAAAACGTGGTCCAGTATTTCGTAATGTTGTTTCGCAATTACAGATTAAAAGTGTGTTCTAATATTTCACAAAGTTGTTTCTTTGTTATAGACTAAAAGCTTGCTCTAGAGTTTCATAAAGCTGTTGATTGTATATTCTAAAAGCTCGGTTTATTATTTCTTGGTGTTGTTTCTTTGTTAAAAATTAAAAGCCTCACTGGTTAAAACTTGATCTATTATTTCGTGATGATGTTTCTTCATTAGGTTTCGTCTAATAGTTCATGGTGCTCCTTCTTTATTATAAATTAGAGGTTTGGTCCAATATTTCATAGTGCTGTTTCACGGTTGTAGATTAAAGACTTTTTGTGGTATTTGATGACGCTGTTTCATAATTGTTACGTATCTGCTTGTTTGTTTGTTTCCGGTAGAAATCCCTACCGAGGATCTTCAGCTATACAACTCCTTTCTTGATTAAACCAGTTTATTCTTCCTCGATACAAACTTTTAGTACCCTGTAGTTCCACAATCCGTACGTTTCTCGTCACTTTAAACTTAACAACTTTTATAATACACGCTATAAATCACAGCGATTCACAATCTCGATAATTTCGCTCTCAACGAGTGCAAAACACACACTTTACGGCTCTCTAGCTCGAAACTAACAGAATCATAAATTACACGGAACTCAAAGTAATTACTGCTCTCTCTTCATTCATATATTCCGCCCCCGCTGGCTTTCCTCTGCCAGACTTATATACTAACGAAGAGGGTATCTCGAACACACTCGGACTTCCCCTATCATTCGAGAAACTCATCACGCACACTACCAGCGCCAACGCGCCAGCAACGTCACGTAACTTCCGCTGTCGTAACATAATCATAGATTCTAAAATTCTTCGATAAATAATGGACCACAACATTGGTTATTCTCGTTATTGATTCTTCACAGAATGAAAGTTCTTCAGTTAGTTTGCCTTTAGAAATGATCCACACATAAACTATGCTGTATTAAATTGGCTAGATTGGCTGATTCATCAAGCTGCAAACTATCATCCTTCCCAAATTGCCTCAATAAGCTGGTCTTTCATGTTATTACGCATTTCACTGTTCCAGTTGTTAATGATGTTCTTTGACAGAGATGTACTTCCTAATTGTTTTAGCAACTTTTTATCTTAGGAATTCCCAACACATATCTTGGGCTGAGAGAAAAATAAAATCCTCTCCAATAGAGTTTTCTTGTATTTTGTTTTTAACACTTTGCAATTCTCATTGCAACTAAGTAAGATGCTTTTAAGCATTGTTCTCTTTGTGCTGTAACTTTTTCCAGTACAGATTTGTCTTGTCAGTTTTTTTCTTTGGATAAACCCGCTTTCTTTTTTTTTTAATTCACTGTGCTACTGCTTAAAATTTTGCTCAAGATGGGAGGGTTTTAATCTCTCATGTACAAAACTTTCACAACATGTATAACACATTGAGGCTTCTCTTGATCTGGTAAAGGGTAACCCAAACTACAGAGTCATATTTTCTAACTGGGATTTATTTTTTCACGGTTTCACTATTTGGAATAGCTTTAGACTGTGCAGAGCCATCATCTTCACCTTCCCTTTATTCTTCGAATTTTCAAACAAGAAATCAGGCAATAATCATTGAAAATTGAACCTAAAGTTTGAACTACTCTCATACAGATACAGTTCAATTCCCTCTTACAGACGCACCTTCAAACTGTTTCACGTAAAAAGTGATGTACATGTATAAAATATATTGAAACAGGATATTCAATGCTGCCGCTGTAAAAGAAAAAAGCTGCAACTCTCAAAAACAGTAGTTTGGTATATTTAAGTTTTTGCCCACAAAATCAATACTCCACACTGCAAATGGTATTTTATTGTTGTATTTCATTATTATAATTACTCACTAAGATGACACTGGTCCCAAGACCCACCAAGGAGTTTGTCATATCCCATTTTTGGGCCGAAGACCACAGTTAAGAACCACTGGCCTGGTCTATTGTATCATTTTCCTTTTTGCCACTTTGATCGTGATTGTATTCCAGCCATAAGTGATTTCCCTACATTAAACTATGCCAATGATGAAAGAACTTTACATATTATGGAGCCGCTTGACATCAAATTCTCAAGTTTAAATTGAATTTGAATCAGTCTTCACATTCACCAAGAATGAACATATTCTCAAATACTAACTCATTAGTGGGTTAACTACATAGTAGGCCGTGAGTAAGCATTCTATCAAGACCCATTTTGTCATTGTGCTACTATTTAGAAATTAAACTATAATACCGAAATGACAATAGCAAATGTAAAAATGTTCACAAAATGAAATTCCATGTAATTACTGAGTGTTTGTGAGTTTGCTTTCTTTCTCTGCTGAAGACTATTTCCATCTTAGACGGTATATATATACGTATTACCTAAAATGAATGTATATTCAGATCTTTTCATTTTTCTCTTACTTTGACATAATATGATCACATAATTCATAAGTGAAACCTACTGTGAATGATTATGAACATTTTTCGTTATAGAATTCCACCAATGTGCTCAGAAAGCAATGGGTACAAAATTATTTTATCATTGGAATGTTAATGCTAGTTGCTTATCTCCATCTACAATATGCCATAGGTTGACGATGAAAATGTCGCCATTCTTCTGAACAGTCTAGCTGTTCAGGCATTGATACTTTGTCTTTCTCAGACTCATTGTAAACAGCTAGAAAAGTTCTCAGGACATATTCTGTGTCACCCTTTCAGCCGTGGGGGCGTTATAAGGTGACGATCAATCCCACTATTCGTTGGTAAAAGAGTAGCCTAAGAGTTGAAGGTGGGTGGTGATGACTAGCTGCCTTTCCGTCTAGTCTTACACTGCTAAATTAGGGACAGATAGCGCAGATAGCACTCGTGTAGCTTTGCGCAAAATTCCAAACAAACAAATATATTCTGTGATGCCGTCCCAGCTATACAGCTGAGTTTCGTCAAGTGGAGGATCGTCCAAATTTTACAGGAGATGCAGTGTTTCTTGGTCTTGTATCTCACTGTTTCACACGACCAGTTATAATCTTCTGAAGATGTATACAAATTCTCCGAATTTGCACCTTTGTAAGATAGTGAGATTGTAGTTTCCTGTAAGCCATATTTTGCTTTAAACCGAAATCTACACAATGAGCTAGCTGCACACCCTCAGTGGCTCAACAGTAAACTTCAGTGCTTATTATGGTGAAATCTGAAGTTAGATCCCTTTATGTACACAGCATATGTAGTCCATTATGTAGTCTTGTGCTTAAAAGCAACCAACCAAAAAGCAGTCTACATTGTACCCATCATGGGGGCAAAAATTCGGATTTTAGTGTTATAAATCCTCAAGTTTACCACTAAGCCAGGATTATTATTAAAATTCGTACATTAATGAGCCGAGGATCACCAGTTGTCACCAATAAGCATAGTTAGTGTTACGTATGATGTATTTTCTTCATTGTTCTTTTAGCTTTATCATACCAATATTTTAATTGCTTATATGATGTACAAATCCAATTGGTTACAGCTGCCTTCAAGACATCAATTGTCTGAAAGTGCTATCCACACAGTTCATTTTTGCGAAAATCAAAATGATGAAATTTGCATAGTGCTAGGTCAGGAATATATCAGAACTTCTAAATTGTCATCGTTAAACGACGAACAACATTGATTATAGCACGTTGTTCAAATACAATGTCCCTTGTAGATGTCATTTTACTTTGTAGGTTACTAGTTGCAGGTCACTTATCTTGGAAACGCATACCATATAATGCCGTTAGCAGCGAATGGATTTTGACCTGTTAACATCATCAATCACCGGTTACGGTGTTGTTATGTTTAGCTAAAGTTCAAAAATGGTTTCTTCCTGAACACCCATCTTATTAATATGTGTCAGAAAAAATTAATTACCGGCAGAAAAGTTATAATCAACGATGAACTAGGCTTAATCTATCTTTACTGTGAAAAATAATAGTTAGTATGATTACTTCTTTCTTAAAATTATTTAATATATGAAATGTTTCTGATTGTGATACTCATAACCTTTTCTCAGAATGAAATCACAGTTACACTAGTTTTCATATAGGCGTCTATTTATATGCATCTTGTGGTAAAATCGTATAGTACAATTTTAAACATATATATATATATATTTTACAAACATTTCGCTCAAACATTGTCCTTCATACATTTTAAATGCCCCACAGTGGCACAGCAGTATGCCTGCGGACTTAAAACGCTAAAAACCAGGTTTCGATACCCGTAGTGGGCAGAGCACAGATAGCCCACTGTGTAGTTTTGTGCTTAAATACAAACAAACATACATACATTTTAATACATTATTTTTTTCCTTTTCTCCAGAGGGCAAGTCTGTAGCCATATCCTACGAGTGTAAATTCATGGAGACTTCAGCAGCAATCAGTCACATGACAGATGAGTTGTTAGTGGGTATTGTCAGACAGATCCGTCTTAAAATCCAGCAACTGAAAGACTTGAACCACTTTTCTCCACCCAGCAGAAGGCGAAAATCTCGAAGTAAAGGATCCCTGTATGGTACCAGGCGGCGAGCGAAAGATCTGCTGAACAAGCTGTTAGGAAAAAGAAATTGCAGATCGAAGTCATGTGATAACCTCCATGTCTGATAGTTGTGTTCTAATTGGTTTATTTCTACTTCGAACATTTATTAGTGTGGTGTTAGCTGTTATAATAATTAAGTTGTTCGATAAGAATTTTCAAACAAATGACTTTACATTTAACGATATATGTAAACTGAAAATATAAAAAATAATGATAAAGATATCAACTTAATAGTGCGATCAGAAAATTTCAAATCAAATAACTTTAACATTATACTTAAAATGCAAATATAAAGATAATGACACGCAAATCACATGAAAATACAATGGTGAATTATATAGAACTGAGAAAATAAGTATTTATTATTACAATATTCTTAGTTGTACGTTATCAAGTTAGTTACTCAATGGGCATAGTATTGTGTTTGTGATGTAAATTCACTTTGGATGTGGTTCACAATAACACAAACAGAACTACGACTTAATCCTCAATCAATTAGTCATGAGTACAACAGTATTCTAATGTTACTGTTTTATACATCGTGTGTACAAGTATTCTAGAAAATTCATCACAACAACTGCCTTTAGTACAATAATTCTTGTATAATATTCTTTGATACAATAAACCTCTACACAACATTCTTTGATACAATAAACCTCTACATAACATTCTTTGATACAATAAACATCTACACAACATTCTTTGATACAATAAACCTCTACATAACATTCTTTGATACAATAAACCTCTACACAACATTCTTTGATACAATAAACCTCTACACAACATTCTTTGATACAATAAACTGCTACACAACATTCTTTGATACAATAAACTGCTACACAACATTCTTTGATACAATAAACTTCTACACATCATTCTTTGATACAATAAACGTCCTCTACACAACACTATTTGATACAATAAACTGCTACACAACATTCTTTGATACAATAAACGTCCTCTACACAACATTCTTTGATACAATAAACGTCCTCTACACAACATTCTTTGATACAATAAACGTCACCTACACAACATTCTTTGATACAATAAACGTCCTCTACACAACATTCTTTGATACAATAAACGTCATCTACACAACATTCTTGAGAACAGAAGTCTTTAGTGCAACTGTCACTAATACAACTAACACAAGAATCTTCAATACAACAGCCTTCTATACAAAAATTATCATTACAAAAGTCATCAACATAACAATATTGTACAGGTCTTCTATAAAGCAATCTTTTGTGCAGCAGTCTCACAGAGTCAAAAATATTCAGAACAACGGTCTTCAGTACAACAGTTATGATTAGAATATTCTTCTATGTATCACCTTATAGTAGAAATATCTTCAGTGCATGAATCCTCACTACATCAGACACCAATATAAAAAAACCCTCAAAATGACAGTCTTCTATAAAAGAATTTTTATTACAACATCTTCTCTGCAAAAGTATTCAATGAAAAACAACATTTTCGGAACAGTAACCTTCATACAAGATTATACTCTGCAACAAAATTCAGTGCAACAAGTTTTAACACAATCTTCAGTACAACAATCTTTAGTAAAAGTCTTTGATACTTCTCTTCCACAGCCATCAGTAAGACAGTTGTCAATATTTCAATTTTCAGTACAACAATCCTAAGAATAATGGTCATTTATAAAACAGTCATCAGTAAAGCATTTTTATTGAATATTCTTCTTTATCACAATCACTAATCAAATAGTTTTCAGTATAATATTCCTCTAAAAGATAGTATTCAGTATAATAGTAATCAGTATATACCACAGTCTTAAAAGCATGTCTTCTGTACAATAGCTTTCATCAAGCAGTCTTGTGTAAAGCAGTATTCTCTATAGTACTTTTATATGCAACATCCTTCATTTTAATGGCTTTCACTAAAAGGTTCCCTAAACAACATTCTTCAATAAAACAATCTTTGCTACAACAGTAGTTCGTACAGCAATCACCAACAAAACGATACAACACTTTGCAGTAGCATTCACACTAATACAATAACCTTTACATCAGCAAACAAAACAATACAACAGTTTCCAGTATAACTCTCTCCAATAAAAAAGTCTATAGTACAACAGTACTTTATACAGCAATCAACAACAAAAATACAGAAAGAGTTTCCAGGAGAGCTTTCTCTAATAAACAACCTTAACAACAACAGAAATTTATCCAGTAATTATCAACAAAACAATACAACAATTTCAAGTAAAATTCTCTAATACAATAGTCTTTACTACCACAATATTTTATACAGAAATCATCAACAGAAAAACACAACAGTTTCCAATAAAACTATGTAATAACACAGTCTCTAGTACAACAATGTTTTGTACAGCCATCATCAAAGAAACATTAGAACAGTTTCCAGTAGAAATCTCTAATACAAAAATCTTTACTACAAGAGTATTTTATACAACAGTCATTAACAAAACAATACAACTACAACAGTTTCCAGTAGAAATCTCTAATACAAAAAACTTTACTACAAGAGTATTTTATACAACAGTCATTAACAAATCAATACAACTACAACAGTTTCCAGTAGAACTCTCTCTAATCCAACAATGGTTAGTTTAACAATGTTTTATACAATAATTATAAAAAAACAATGCTATAATTTACAGAAAAGCTCTCTCTAATACAAAAATCTTTACTACAATATAATTTTATACAGCAAATGTCAGCAAAACAATAGAAACAGTTTTCAGTAGAATTCTCTCTCTAATGCAGTCTTTACTGTAACAGAGTTTTTCAGAGTAACCATAAAAATGAAACATAAGAACAGTTTCCAGTAGAATTCTCTAATACAAAAGTATTTAGTACAACAGTATTTTATACAGCAATCAGCAATAAAACATTTTCGAACGAAAAAACCGTCTAACGCTCGGCAGGTATTTTGGTTTTAAATCCAGAGGCGGTCAGAAACTGTTGTTTTTCTTCAACCCAGTCGCGGAATTAAGTTAAATAATACGAGAAGATGAATAATTTTGGACTTTGGTGATGGCGTTATTTTAGATTAGGAAATCAGTTCAAACCGTGGGACTTGAATGTTGAGAAAACCAACTTTCACGGTCCAGGATCGGAATTAATATGCCTGGGCCGTGCACGAGGATGCCTGCAAGGAAAAAAGAAAGTCATGGGCTATAAAGGTTCGAAACAAGAGGTTTAACGCTTGAGGAGAGGTGTGTAGCTGGCTGAAATCTGATGTAGACAGGGAAAGTCTAGGTCATAGTCGGCGGCGCCGGCTTCATCAATGTCGGACGGTGGTCTGAAGACGTTGAAATAATTTGCTGGTCGAAGACAGTTTATGGTGAAGGAGTGGTTCTTCCAGAAGGCGAACGTCATTTGTATGGGATCGTCTTGGGCGGAGGTGGAGGGCTCTGGTGGTAAATCGTTCTGGATGGTTTTCATCTTGATTAGATTCTTGGTCTGTGCATTGATGGGCTGTTGTGGTAGGGTCAATCGTGGTAGTTGAATCTTGAAATTCTGGATCTTCTGATTGGGTGGCTTGACCAGTTGTTGCAGTTTTCCTATTGGCTTGTGTTTGAGTCGCTTGGTTTGTGGAAGACGGCGTGATTACTTGTGGTATTTGAGTGACTCGCTTACAGTATTTTTGTTCTGTGGTAGATGCTACTAATGGTGAGGCAAGTTGACTGGTGTTTCTTCTGTGGGGTTTCTAGGCTCTAAAGTGAAATAAACAACCATTAATTAGAATATACTTAGCTTTTAGTGACAATTTTGATAAAATGTGTTGTTTGGCCGGTTGTTCTGGAGCAAATTCGGTGGACTATGTGGAGTTTCGTGTTGGCGACTTTTACTATGGGCTGCTGGATTTCTGCTGGAGTGATTGAAGAGTCGACGATTCTGAGAAAAAAAAGAGATTAATATTAGCTTTAGGGGTAATACATGTAGCACGTGGAAAGGCGTTCCATGGGCTACACAGGTAGGTAAATTTACCTTGACTTGTGGGTTGGAGGAAAATTCCACCCCATCGAAAGATCTGTGTCTTGGAGGGGTCGATGGAAACTCTGGGTTTAAAAATCTTGATAAAGTCGATGATCTGGCGAGGGGAGAAATTAGGGGGTACTTCGTCAAGGATTACCTATGAAACTGGCGAGGTTATTGGTGTAACAGTCTTTTATACAGCAATCATCAAAAGAACAATACAACAGTTGTCAGCAGAATTCTCTCATATTATGCAGCAATTATCAGCAAAACAACACAGCAGTTTCTAGTAGAACTGTGTTTAATACAACAATCTTTAGTATACCAGTATTTTATACAGCAATCATCAACAAAATCTTCCAGTAGAACTCTGTCTAACACAACAATCTTTAGTACAAAAGTATTCTATACAGCAATCATCAACAAAATATTCCAGTAGAACTCTGTCTATTACAACAATCTTTAGTATAACAGTATTTTATACAGCAATCATCAACAAGATCTTACAACAGTTACCAGTAGAACTCTGTCTAATACAACACTTTTTTAGTATACCAGTATTTTATACAGCAATCATCAACAAGATCTTGCAACAGTTTCCAGTAGAACTCTATCTAATACAACAATCTTTAGTATACCAGTATTTCATACAGAAAAGATCAACAAGAGGATACAACAGTTTCCAGTAGAATTCTATCTAATACAACAATCTTTAGTATAACAGAATTTTATACAGAAATCATCAACAAGATCTTACAACAGTTTCCAGTAGATCTGTCTAATACAACAATCTTTAGTATACCAGTATTTTATACAGCATTCATCAACAAGATCTGACAAAAGTTTCCAGTAGAACTCTGTCTAATACAACAACCTTTAGTATACCAGTATTATATGCAGCAATCATCAAAAAGATCTTGCAACAGTTTCCAGTAGAAGATTATCTAATACAACAATCTTTTGTATACCAGTATTTCATACAGAATTAATCAACAAGATATTACAACAGTTTCCAGTAGAACTCTGGCTAATACAACAATTTTTAGTATAACAGTATGTTATACAGAAATCATCAACAAGATCTTACGACAGTTTCCAATCGAACTCTGTCTAATACAACAATATTTAGTATACCAGTATTTTATACAGGAATCATCAACAAGATCTTACAACAGTTTCCAGTAAAATTCTATCTAATACAACAATCTTTAGTATAACAGTATTTTATACAGAAATCATCAACAAGATATTACAACAGTTTCCAGTAGAACTCTGGCTAATACAACAATCTTTAGTATAAGAGAATTTTATACAGAAATCATCAACAAGATCTTATAACAGTTTCCAGTTTAACTCTGTCTAATACAACAATCTTTAGTATACCAGTATTTTATAAACGAATCATTAACAAGTTCTTATAACAGTTTCCAGTAGAAATCTATCTAATACAACAATCTTTAGTATAACAGTATTTTATACAGAAATCATCGACAAGATCTTACAACAGTTTCCAGTAGATCTGTCTAATACAACAATCTTTAGTATACCAGTACTTTATACAGCATTCATTAACAAGATCTAACAACAGTTTCCAGTAGAACTCTGTCTAATACAACAACCTATAGTATACCAGTATTTTATACAGCAATCATCAACAAGATCTTGCAACAGTTTCCAGTAGAAGATTATCTAATACAAAAATCTTTTCTATACCAGTATTTCATACAGCATTCATTAACAAGATCTAATCACAGTTTCCAGTAGAACTCTGTCTAATACAACAACCTATAGTATACCAGTATTTTATACAGGAATAATTAACAAGATCTTCAAACAGTTTCCAATAGAACTCTGTCTAATGCAACAATCTTTAGTATAACAGTATTTTATACAGGAATAATCAACAAGATCTTACAACAATTTCCAGTAGAACTCTGTCTAATACAACAATCTTTAGTATAACAGTATTTTATACAGCAATCATCAACAAGATCTTGCAACAGTTTCCAGTAGAACTCTGTCTAATACAACAATTTTTGTATACCAGTATTTTATACAGCAATCATCAACAAGATCTTGCAACAGTTTCCAGTAGAACTCTACCTAATACAACAATCTTTAGTATACCAGTATTTCATACAGGAAAATCAACAAGAGGATACAACAGTTTCCAGTAGAATTCTATCTAATACAAAAATCTTTAGTATAACAGAATTTTATACAGAAATCATCAACAAGATCTTAAAACAGTTTCCAGTAGAACTCTGACTAATACAACAATCTTTAGTATACCAGTATTTTATACAGCAATCATCAACAAGATCTTGCAACAGTTTCCAGTAGAAGATTATCTAATACAAAAATATTTTCTATACCAGTATTTCATACAGAATTAATCAACAAGATATTACAACAGTTTCCAGTAGAACACTGACTAATACAACAATCTTTAGTATACCAGTATTTTATACAGCAATCATCAACAAGATCTTGCAACAGTTTCCAGTAGAACTCTGTCTAATACAACAATTTTTAGTATACCAGTATTTTATACAGCAATCATCAACAAGATCTTGCAACAGTTTCCAGTAGAAGATTATCTAATACAAAAATCTTTTCTATACCAGTATTTCATACAGAATTAATCAACAAGATATTACAACAGTTTCCAGTAGAA